GTGCGACCCGCCAGAAGACAGGGAAGTGTAGGAAGGGCTACACCACGGATGCGCAGGGAACAGAGAAACAACAGGAAGTGTAGGAAAGGCTACACCACGGAGGTGGCAGGAACAGAAAACAACAGGGAAGTGTTGAGAGGTGACCATAGACAACAACGAAGTATAGGGGTTACAAAGTAGACATCAGGGAAGTGGAAACAACAAGGAAGTGTAGGGCAGGGCTACGCGGGACGTGCAAGGAACAGCGGCGAGGCGCATACACACCGAGCCTGTGCTTGGCGGAACGGACGACGAGGCGAAGCGCCTGGCGGATGACGGTCATGCTCACGACTCGGACGGCGACTCGTCCGTGCTCCAGCTGTCTGACATCGACTTCGCGTGACTGTCGCGGTCTTCTTCATCTCGCCGTCAAACTCGTCATGTGCGACGCTCGGCATCGTCGGCGCCGGCCGTGCCGACCGCGTAGCCTCTCCGCCCTGAACGCCTGCACGCGTGGAGACCCCCGGTGACGTACGAAAAGATAAGAAGGGTAAGAGGAAATAAGGAGATAACAAGATAGAATGAAGGAGAAATAAGGATGATAACAAGATAAGAAGGGAGGACAATAAGGAGATTCGAAGCTAAGAAGGAAGGAGATAGAAGGAAGGAGGAACATCAGGAGATAAGAAGCTAAGAACGGAAGGAGCGAAATAAGGCGATAAGAGATAAGAAGGAAGGTAGCGAAATAAGGAGATAATGAAGATTAAGAAGGAAGGAGGAAAATAGGAGATAACGAGGAAGAAGGAAGAGGAAATAAGGAGATAAGAAGTATAAGAAGGAGGAGGAAATAAGAGATAGAAGATAAGCGAAGGAGGAAATAAGGAGATAAGAAGATAAGAAGGAAGTGAGGAAATAAGGAGATAAGAAGGCTATAAGAAGGAAGGAGGAAATAAGGAGATAAGAACGATAAGAAGGAAGCACGAGGGAAACTAAGGAGATAAGAAGGATAAGAAGGAAACGGAGAAATAATGGAGATAAGAAGATAAGGAAGCGAGAAATAAGGAGAACGAAGCATAAGAGAAGCGCAGGAAATAACGCGAGATCAGAAGATAAGGAAGGAATGCGAGGAACATAAGGAGATAAGAAGATAAAGAAGGAAGGAGGAAATAAGGACGATAAGGAAGAAGGAAAATAAGGAGCACTAAGAAGATAAGAAGGAAGGAGAAATAAGGCGAGATAAGAGATAAGAAGAAGGACAATAAGGAGATAAGAAGATAGAGAAGGAAGACAAGGGGAGTAGCAAATGAAGAGAGATAAGAAGATAAAGGAGAGGAAGACAATACAGGAGATAAGAAGATACAGAAGGAAGGAGGAAATAAGGAGATAAGAGATAAGCGAGACGGAAATAAGGAGATACAGAAGATCAAGGAAGAAGGAAATAAGCGAGAATAAGAAGATAAGGAAGAAAGGAGGAATATAAGGGACCCCCACCGCCGTATGTAAGAAGATAGAAGGAAAGGAGAAATAAGGAGATAAGAAGATAAGAGAAGAGAAGAGAGATAGAATAACAGAATAAGAGATAGAAGATAAGAAGGAGGAAATAAGGAATAAGAAGATAAGGAAGACACCACCACTACGCTCGCGCTCGATGCATATCCATGATAACATGTTAATATAGTGAAGTCATTCAAGTTACACAGCTGTATCTTTATTACTGTACTACCGGTATAGCAAAGCCTATCATAGATTTTAGATCTGTATTAGTAATATCCTAGATATATGCTCTGAGCGCGAATGCGGTGGCGGGAGGGCGCACTTGATTCAGTTGCGAGTGAGTTTATCCGAAGAATACCCAGTACTACTAGTAACGACTAAACAGAAACTACAGTACATGTCAGTTGAGTGCTGTCGCTCTGCGGCACTTGTTTCAGCAAATCTTTAATTTTGAACTTCACCCTTGTTCAAAAGTTAAGTTCTACCCCTGCTGTAGAACTAGAGCATTTGGGACGTTCAGCAAAGCTGACACGTGATAAACAAAAGAAACGCTAAATTAAGTATTATATCCATTGGTTGAGCAGTTGTATGTAAAGCTCTAGTTTAGTAGATTGGCATTTTAAAAGTAATTTTTAAAATGGAATCGTTGGAATATATATATATAGTGATATCTGTCTGTGATGTATATCACGTATCGTGAATAAAAAGTGACTGGTGCTTTGCAAGTCTGTGATTCCGGAATTTCGTTACGTAATGCGAGAATCGGCCGCCATTGTTTCAGACGACAAAGATGAGATAGATGCTTCGATGGCAGCTGTTGACATGGCAACCTACTTCCTGGTTGACTCACGCGACAGCCTCCAGCTAAATGTCACCCCAACTCTCATATTGCTGCTTCAAGAATTGTTAGAGGTATGTGATTCTTATACAGTTGCCATCTTGCATTAGAACCATAGTTTCAGTTTGTGCAACCATAAGAAATCAAGGTATATAAACGTTTGATAACATCAGGTGTACTTCAACATACCACTGATTTTAGTGACGGATATTTACGACAATGTGCCTCTGGTGGAAACTTTGTTCAGCTTCTATTGACCTGAGAGTTTCTCTTAGCACGCTTCTTCAGGGAAAAAAGTGTCTGCTATTGAGTAGTGTAGTTATATCTGTAACAGTATTGTGGCGTTTTTATTCCACATCTGATTCATTGTTGTATATTTTGAGAGTGTTGTGTATTCAGAGTGTTTTTATCATTGTATAGGCATTATCTGAAAGACCTGATGCAGAGGTGAAGTCTAACAAGAAACCCCCATCTCTTACAGTCCTAAACAAGGTATTCAGTTCGTCTAACTCTTGCCGTAAAAGAGAACACTTATTCGGTTTTACTACTATTTCATTTTGGTTATCAAACCAGAGTTTGCTGTACAGTCACCTGACGCATTTATGGGCCTACCCCCTGTTAGCATTTGGTAATTGGCACCATTCTGTGTGTCCAACGTTTGTGTTTTGTGTCTGCAGCTGGGAGTCGAGACGGATGTGCAGGTGAGAGGAGACGAGGAGACAGCCGGTGATGTCTGCGTGCTGCAAGGCACCGAGTATGACAATGCCCCTGACCTAATGGACCTCAATCCAGAGACAGAGCTTATTAAAGCTGAGGAAGCAGAGGAGAAGGTGGATTATGGTCTGGACAGGTAACTAACTTCTTAACGTTTCCCATACCTGCCTCACATGTCTCTCCATCTGTCTATGCCATCTATTCTTTCTGTCTGCTGTCTCTCTCTCTTTCTCTCTCTCTCCCTCTCTCTCCCTCTCCCTCTTCCTCTCCCTCTCACTCTCTCTCTCCCTCTGCCTCTCTCTCTCTCTATCCCCCCTCTCTTATGCGCTCTCTCCCTCTCCCTCCCTCTCCCTGTCCCTCTCCCTCTTTCTCTCTCTCTCTCTCTCTCTCCCTCTCCCTCTCCCTCTCCATCTCCCTCTCCCTCGATCTCACAGAGATCTCTCGCATGTAACGTTATCTGAGACGACTTCGGCGTGGTTGATGCATTTCCCCGTCACCTTTCTGTGATCGCAGTGAGGACCCGAGCTACTACGATTACATGAGCAACCTCAGCAGTGCCGCGATGGTCAGCCACGCCTTCTCCTTCGACAGCGACGACATGCAACCTTTCGCTTCTTGCTCAACCCGCAAGGTGGCGCTACGGGTACGTCGGAGTACCCCGACCAGTAGTCGAAAACCGATAGAAAACTCGAGTAATCGATGTCGAGTTTTGTCGTGGCTTGGGCAAGTTAAAACGAGGCGGTTGTCATCAGTTGCATTTGCGTGACGCAGAGACCGGGGCCGATTCTACGGTGCATATCCACTACACTAGCCTGTGTAGATTTGACTAGCTTATTGTTTGGTTTCACCTGTAATATTACAGATGAACTGTTGAGCATTGTCCCTGTAGTAGAGTTGGGGAACTGTCTGGCACGTGATATTATCATACAACGAGAATTCACTGATACGACAAAAATCCAGTTGCATCACTAGTAGTCGCTTCTAGAAATCCATAGTTATATAGTGGGTATATGGGTACTCATCTAGTAAGTAAGTAAGTAAGTAAGTAAGTAAGTAAAAACTTTATTTAACGACGGTAAAACATGTTAGGTACAGACACAATGAAATGGTGCGGACCTATCTTTCACATGGCCGTCTCACAGCAATAGAACAGTTAAATTGGTGTAAATGGGTACTCATCTATATGGGTATAGTCACCACAGCTGCGTATAGTTACCGTATGATCCGAGACGCAAACGAAATCTAATCTCGCAGGTGAATGGGTTTGAGGCTGTCGACTGGCAGCTGCCGCGGCGAGCGGGGACGCACATGCTGGTGATGTCGCCGAAGCAGGGCGACATCTTGTACAGCGTGCTCGCCACGCTGGACGTCACGCACGGCAACCGCACTGTCACGCTCAGGTCACCGCTGCAGGTGAGTGTCACCGACTCACCTCGCTGCCTTGCAACGTACGATCACGGGTTTAGCTGGATAACTTATCGGCAGGAGCGTGTAAGAACCAGGAAGGGACGTGTAGGAGAAGAGTAGAGACTAATGAGCGGACAGTCCACATGTACTTGATTGTCAATAGGAAAATTAGCCGAGTAAATGTCCTGGTGTGCCGGCTCCAAAGAAAGCCCTGACTATCCTCATTGCTTGTGCCAGCCACACGTGCTGCATGGCTCCTTACGTATGATCACCAGTGATGGTGTGGCACAGACTGATTGCCCTCACTACACTTGCACTCGATATATTCTCACTATTGTCTTCACATGCTTTGGCCTATGTAAGATCATATCTCAATGCGTGTAAATCACATCTGTGTACAGCTTCATTACAGCTAAGTCGGTTCGAAACTAGTTCTTTATTTGCACCCATTAGGGAAGAGCATTGCCACCTACATACTTTGTTTATCTAGTTCTTACAATCATTCCACATTCTCTAACGACTTCACAAGCTATTTTTTTAACATCACACTCGTTGCTTGTTCCCCTACAATGTGTTCAGGTGCACAACTGCACAAGCTGTTCTTTAAACATTACACAAACTGCTTGTTCCTCTACAATGTTGACAGGTGCACACTGCACAACCGCACAAGCTGTTCTTTAAACATTACACCCATTGCTTGTTCCCCTGCAATGTTGTCTGGGGGCACAACTGCAAAAACTACCCGGTGAACATTACACTCATTGCCTGTTCTCTCACAACGTTCTCAGGTGCACAACCGTTACACTCATTGCCTGTTCTCTCACAACGTTCTCAGGTGCACAACTGCACGAGCTACGCTGTGAACGTCTACTGCAAGGTGAGTGAGCTTGCCAACCACCAGCGTCCGGCGGGTCTGGACGAGGGCAGCGTCGGCGAGTACGGCCTGCTGACGATGCTCGCGCCGGGCCAGCTCTACGACGTGCCCCTCTACGTCGCCTACCACTGCAGCCTCTACATGAAGCCAGCCCACCTCGAGTGAGTGAGCCGACGGCAGACGGACATGGGGGTGGGGGGACTCAGGAGCGCGGCTCTCATGGCGTGGGGCCTTTCCCCCTAGGAGACGATTCTCGTGGGAGGGTGGCGTGGGGCCTTTCCCCCTAGGAGACGATTCTCGTGGGAGGGTGGCGTGGGGCCTTTTCCCTGTAGCGACGATTCTTGCGGGCTGCGGGAGACTGCGGGAGCGGTTTGGGACGTGCCACACGGAGCAGTTTGTGATGTGGTGTGCGGAGCGACATGTCATGCGTAGAGATAGAGAGGTGGCCTTCGAATCGTTGTTCGTGCCCATTCTGATTCAACCAGCGTAGCGGGTGGCATTTCACTATAAACGCAGTCGGTGCGCAGTTGCGCAGTGTGTGGCTACATCTGCATCGGTCAACCATGACAAACTGGTTATGCTTTTTTTCGCGTAATCATCGTCTTTAGAAAGAACAGATTCGCGAACAAATAAAACGCGACATTAGGATGGGTGAGTGCCATGCGCGGTGAGCAATAGCAGCACAATAGCGAGAGTTCAGATGTCGTCGTGGTTTCAGTTACGAGATGAGCTACAATGGCATCTGGTGGAGCGACCTTGCAGGTGCCAAGGACAGGTCCACATATCTCGCCTGTCTGGCGACACAGTGGGAGAACCGTAATTTCCTTATCAAGGTAAGTCACCAGCGAGAATCGATGTCAAGCACGACCGTCTCTTCTTTGGGCGGCGGGCGATTTTGGGCAAGAATCCACGTTCGAGTCGTTTTGCGATGGCGACTCACTTGTTTGTACGATGTTCCTTGGTGATCTTTGCGAAGGAACATTTGAAGTAACATTACTTTCGAAGAAGTGCACACTTTAGATAGAGCATTGATAATGTGTTCCAATTCTTATAGTGATGAAATTCTCTCGCTCTTCTCTATTATTTTGGGATTATTACTCCTTGTTAGTTAACTCTGCTCGCACTTCGACGGGTGAACAGGTCGTCTGCAATGATGGGGTAACCGTGCGGTTGCCGGGAAACCTGGGTAAACAAGTGCCAAACTATATGTTGAAGCTGCATGCTCCAGTAGTATTGCACAACTATCTTCCACACCATCTGAGGTACTCGCTGGAGGCAAAAGCGTACAAGGACAATGTCAAGGTTTGTATGTTGTTACTTCGAAAAATAGTATCCAGAATTCTTATTACCTGATAATTGTGTATTACTATGAGTATTGTATTTTACCATGGTACTGGTAACATAAATTTGTTTGATAGAAACACGGATATTGTTCTTAGATGGAACAGAGTAAATCCTTGTAAATTCACTACTAAGCATCCAAAGGTGAATAATTTCATTAACTGAAGTTGCAATAAGTTAGTAGTTAGTTACACTGAGTATTTTTCTTTTCCCGTCATAATAATGGCATGCGTGTCAGAGTCAGAATGGCATGCTAGTACACATTGTGTGTGAGACTGAGGGATATCCAGCTCCCCCTGGCAACACAGCTGACATATAGTGGCACAATCACTTGAGTGTTTCGCTTGTCTGTGTAATTTGTGTATTTGTTTATCGTTAGTTATTTCTAATACTTTTGCAGTGTGAGTTTGATGTTGACCTTGATGCTGGTCAGAAGAAGGCATTACACAACATTGACATGCTGAGTGCAGAATCTCACCAGCTCTACCTGGAGGTAAATGAGTGTGGTGCCATGTTTTGCCTACCTTTCCTACATTCGTTTGCTGGGCGTGTTATCACAGCATACCATAGTGGATGTTAAACCTTTCAGGATTGCCACGCTTGGCTAAACCTGAAGCTTGGGTGTAACTAATTCTGAAACTGTGTAGTAGATCTGTTTTACCATCTGGATAGAAGCATTCTGAATTCTTGTGTACTTGTGTGTCGTTTTATAAGCCACGTTCATTAATTTCTTCACCCCTTCATGGCATGGAGATAGATATCATACAATCAATATGATCAATGTGCAATATTTTTTATCAACTTCGAATGTGTAATATTGTATTAATTTCGAACGTGCAATATTGTATCAACTTTTTTAGTGCAGGTTTTCTGGTTACCCACGTCAGTGTTGTTACCTTGTTTACAAGAGAAGGAGAGCAACTTCATGGGACCATTAATTTTCTAGGCACCAAATTACTTGAACATGCACTGGACCGGAGTGCTGGATCTCTCTACGAGCATGGACGAGATGCGCGGTGTCAATATGACACCGGAGTTTGAAGCAGACACCGGCACGAGCAAGCAGTTTACGATCGGTGTGCACACCATCAACACAGGTGGCCTGGAGATCTACCTGTATGCCCCCTACTGGCTGGTGAACAAAACCAGCCTGCCTCTGCAATTCAGGGTACGGTTACGGTTTTTTTCCTCATTACATTTATTTATATATTTTTACAACCTGTTCAGAATAATTGTATCCTACATGTTAAAGTGTTTTTACTGTGTGCGTGCGTGCGTGCATGCATGCGCGCTCTGCATTTATGAGGGATTGTTATTTTGTTGCAGGGTTCGGGCTCTGAGGTCGTGTATGAGAACCTGACGTCACATGACCCCCTGCTATTCAGGTTTAAGAAGCACAGAAGGAAAAAGGTAAATATATAGATGCTGTTCAGCAGTGCTCAGTGCAGCCACGAACTCTGCCACGAAAGAAGGCTAACAGCTTATAGAAGGCTAACGATTATAATGGCTTGCGATGTCTGGTGTTGAGTCCGGTGTTCGTTTCAGGTTAAAGTGCGTGTGTACAACTCGCGGTGGTCACATTCGTTCTCGCTGGACACTGTAGGCAGCACGGGCATGGTCATCTGCGCTGACCGTGAGCGAGAGCGCAAGTACCGGGTGAGTGCATGAACAGGAGCCAGTCTTTAATCCGTATGCAATGTTGAGGTTGTCCCCCGTCGGCACAGCATGAGTATCTCGCACTGGAAACTGTGTCCCTGGTTGGCCAAGGAAATAGGGCTTTGCACATGTGCATATACTCTAGGACAGGAGTATGTGTTGTGATCCATGGTGTAAGGGTGTTTCCGCACAAGTAAAATATCCTCCCCTCTGGATGGTTATTTCTAATGGATGAAAAAAGCTTGTGTGTGCTCATTGTGTACTATAAGAGAATGGTTGACATGGAAATTTTAATGATTGCTCTGTTCGTGGTAATCAGTAGCAATGTGGTTGATCTTAATAGTTATTCAAGCAGGTAATGTATGTTTCCATGTCAGGTTAGCAGCAGACTAACGCGTGCTAAACGTTTACCTCCGCAGTTCCTTGTGCAAATCCAGCTGTCGAAGCTAAACCTAACGAAGATCGTCACCATCCTGCCATTCTTCCTGATAGTGAACAACACGCCGACACCACTGCGTTACATGGAACACAACGAAAACGCTGATCTTTGGATGGACATCGCTCCCAGCCAGGTGACACCTGCTCTGCTGGCACACTTAAATAAGATCTCTTGCTAAACTGATCTGGCAAATCACGGTTAATGCTACCCTAGATCGCCAACAAGTACTATTGTTAAGATCGCCCGACTGCAAGTGGCACATGTTGGCTTATCCATTTCTGTTTTAGTGTTGCCCTTTCTGGATGGATACGGACTCTTAACTTTAATTATAATAAAAGTATAAGTTTTCAAAGTTAAAATTGTAATTTTATTTTAACTTTTTTTTATTCTCGTAACTTTACGATTTTTCTGTTAACAGTTTACGAGTCAAAGTTAATGTTAAGACTAACGTTAATACCAATCGTGTTTCTGACATCAGGTCCCAGATTGCCAACAATCACGTTTGCTAATGTTGCCCGAGCATTAGCTTATCCGCTTCTGTTTCAGTGTTGCCCCTTCTGGCCGGATACGGACTCGATGAGGATGTATGTGGCACAGCACCAGAGCCTGGCCTGCTCCCAGGGCTTCGTCGTTAACCAGCAGCACTCTACCGTGCTTCGCATGAGCAGCGGGGTGAGATACCAGACCTCTCGTTAGCATCCCATAGCGCAAACACAGCAGCTCAGCGAAGCCCACGATGCTCTTAGAAGCCTCTCTCGATACTGAAGGTTGCAGTCTTGGGTGAACTTTGCATGTTGATTTAAGAATTGCGTAAACCTGACCTGTGACTCGCCGCAGACGAAACAATAGTGGCTGGTTTTCGAAGGAAGTGTGTGAATTGCACGATGCTACGTGTGTTACGATTGTTGTTTGGTAGGGGGCGCTGAGGGTGGATGTGTCGGGAGGTACGGAGTCGCCAATGACTGTATCGTTTGCACCATATCAACATGGAGACGCACCTATTCTCATACAGAATGTATGCGATGACATCTTCATCAGATTCAACCAGAAGTATGTTATGTATTGTGGAGACTCGATTAAAAATGTCTTGTATTCGTACATCCTGATACGTACAGGTAGTAATTACCGGTAGCTGAATAATAAAGAGCCTCATAATAATTATTACCTCATGACTTAACAAATGATATGTGTCGAGTGAAATGAATGAGTGCAATCTTATGAAAATGGTACTTTGTTAATTGTGCTCGTTATTGAATTGTTAGTGTTGTGTTGGGTTGTCGATAAGAACTGTGATTTATGTTATGGTTGCTAGCTGTATACTGTATGAGTACTTTTGTACACTTGTACTATTTTACAGGTGCCAAGGCCAGGTGACCCTGCTGAAGCCCAATCAACAGGTACTGTACACCTGGGATGATCCAGCATCAGAGAGGACGATCATCTGGAATGTATACAACCGCAAGAAGCCTGGCTATCCTGCCTTTGTAAACAAGGTGAGATCGAAGTGCGAAACTCGTTTACAGTCACCTTGTGCATTTTGGTGCATCTTGTGCAAAGGCTGATTATTCTTTTCATCTAAAAGTCGATGTGCAATCGCTGATAATGATCATTAGTACAAGCGCTGTTTGGCACAATTTGTGTTCAGCGGTAGTTATAGTGTTGCATGCATTCAGCCATGCCACTGATGAATCCGTGTTGGGCCATCAGGGCCACACCTATTCCCCCCCCCATCTAAGAATCAATACCAGAAAAAGAGTGGGAAAAACAGAGCCATCGCGTGCATTTCAAACCCCTATTTTACGTACTTCCTAATTTAGTGCTTTTTAATTAGGATCTAATTAGTCGAGCCGTTGGACCCTGCTGGTCCATACTTCACTCCTCGTTAGTGGGTTTTGCCTCCTTTGCCCTTTAGCCCATTCCAGGATCACCAATGATTCGTGCGGTTTCTTTTTGAACACAGGATGGACATGGTGAGGTCAGGATGCACATCCAGTCTGTCAAGTTCCGAGCACCGAATGGTTCTGTCAGCAAGGAACCAGTGATGAGCAGTTCAACTGATGGTAAGTCCCTTGTTAGAGAACTGTTGGTTTGTCATAGCCTGCCCCACACCATGCAATGCCAGCATTGAGTAGCAGAACATATCTGCAAACCTCACTATCAGCAACGTAGCATCCCCTGAGTGGGATTTTCTGCAGGGGTTTGAGGAATTCAAGAAACGAGCTAGCTAAAAGTTGCCTAAGCAAGCTACAGTGATATGCCACTTACGGAATTCATGAATTCCAAAATAAAACGTACGTATTACATAAGATTTCGTGGTTTTTCCGTTGTTGTACACCATGGCAGGTATAGACCATGAAAGATCCATCCATGCACGCTGCGCACAGAATGGTGGCACATATCAAAGCTGGCCACTGGACTTGGTGGCCATTTGCTTCATATTTATCACATTTATTGGTGATGATTGAGTGCATCACTTTAGAAAAAGCCACTCATTCGTTTAGAAAATTTAGTGAGAGAATTTATATTACGCGTTGCAAATCTAGCGGTCATAATTTACAAATTCCATATGAGGAAATTTCTGCAATCCAAGTTTTCATAACCTGGGGCATTACTGTATTACTGTTACTTCTTGTCGTGTATGTAAGCAATATTTGTTATGCAGAGGATGATAGCGAGCAGGAAGTAATTCCACTGTCAGAGCTGCGTAAGAAGATGCGAACAGACAAGGTGATCGTCTACTGGGTGTCGTTCCTAGATGGACCGCAGAGAGTGCTGCTGCTAACCCAGGATGAACGCGTTGCCCGGGAGGCCAGGCGGGTGCGTGTTATGCCGCGATTCGCTAGTTTGTGGCCGATTTCTGGTCTGATTTAAGACTTGTGCGCATTCACTCACCAATTGTATGGATAGTCGCATGTAGCTCTCGAAATTTATATGTGTAGTGTTGAATTTTTAAAAACTCCTATGTTCAAATGTGTGTATCTGGAGTTTTTGTCATCTGCTGTTAGCTCTGTGAATTCATATTGTGGCTATATGCCTAATGTTTGCCACAATAAAGCCAACATGTCTCAACGCTGTAGTAGGATTATGCGATCATATTAACATCATGTCGATTGGCGAGTAAAAAATTTCCTTAAAAATATAAAAACTTTATATAACCTTCCTTGGTAGTAAGTATCTCGTTCTACAATGGTGATTCATCGCACGGTATACAAATACAATGCTCGTCATTTCTGAGCCCAAACCGCGCTGATCTGTTTTTTTTACCTCGGTAGTTGTGTGAAAGCGAGAAGTCCAACTGGGAGCTGTTTCTCTCACTTGGCAACGTCTCGATGTCTCTCATCAACAGCTCTTATGAAGAAGTGGCTCTTCTCAGTTGCATAGGTTCATCCGCCAAGTGGCAGGTAGGTGCACATATCCCCGTAGCTGGCTATAGCTGAGCTCAATCACCGTGTATCTTTGTCTCAGTGTCTAAGCAATGCTACCGACGTTTTGAACAAGAATAGACGAGATGCACTTTTCAGTGTCATGGATTAATATTTCAGAGCTGTCAGTAGGTCTGTTATATATAGCTGGCACGGTTCATAGGTGACTGTGATTACGTTTGATTATGTATATCTCTGTCTTTCTCGGATAGGTTGAGATCAATGGCAAGTGGAAGACCCTGAATGTAGAGCTGTCACTCTGGTTGGAGGACAAATGGAGGGCCTACCAGTCCAGTGCTGAGCTCAAAGACTACATAGAGGTACGAGAGGGACTGAGCTCCACGTCACAGCAGCACTTGTATCTGTAACTCTGCATTCTAAATTTAAGTAGCTACCTTGTAATGCTTTGCATACGAGATTTCGATAAATCCATTGCACTCTCAGTGAGAAAAGGCTGGTTTCGACTGGGTGATTGACATTACTCCGTGAGTCGAACCATAGCATGTGTTGAAGGAAAATATGGCGAATCGGTGTGTGCTTGCTTACGATGCAGTTAGCACAGGGCTGCCTTTGACGGCCGCTCTGTAAATGTGTTCATTCGTGCACTCAGGTGGACTTCAGCCGCATGCAAATGGTGAAGCCATTCTTTGGGCAGCTGTGTCGCACCTACAGTCCTGCTGTGTTCTTCACCTGCCGGAAGTCGGAGCACCAAACATGCATCGGAGCTACGCTGCACCGTCTGCAGGTATTCTGTTCCCTGTACCCCCCTTTTTTTAGTACACATTTAATACATCCTCTGTAGAGTGAAATAAAGGAACATTGATCATTAGGTGTCAGACTCGTTTGAACTGTCGTCTAACAAGTTTGTTTTTTATGTAGTTTTATTGAAGTGATACTGTATATGTATTGTATTATATCGGATAAACGGTGGCTTCTGATGTGAACTTTGATGTCTCATCTCGTTTTTTAAAGTGTTTACATTTGTACAACTCTAACATGAGTTATTAATGAGGTTTCATAAATTAATTTTGTGCTCGGCATTCATAAGTTAGTTTCTTTCCCTCGCAACACACTCTACCAGGCTTCATGTGTGTGGCGTACCAAACATGACGGCTTATGTGACACGATTATTTTGCCGATTGACAGATTGACAATCAGCTGAATGATGCCGTGTTCACGACAGTCCTGAGCCCTATACTGAACAAGCAGTATGTGGCCAAGCAGGGTGGAAGTGGCCCATTCCTCGAATTCACCATGTTGTCTAGGAAGCTTCCTGAAAATAATGGCATGTCTGTACAGTGAGTATACCTTCTGTTTATGGCTAGAGTGTAGACTATGATCGTAAACAACATACTGACATAGGTTGTAAAAGTATATATGGAAACTAATTTGTGTTAAACCTTGCTAAGGTTGCTTGTATCTGTTCCGCCATCAGATACCTGAAAGCACTTGTGAAGGATTTCAGTCTGAAACTGGACAAAGGCTTCCTGCTCTCAGTCTGGCACATTTTCTCCCCTTGGCAGACACCAAAGAGTGAGGTAAGTCTATAAACAGTTGTTAACATGGAAGATCATCCAGCCACAGTGTCTGCAGGTTTAAGCTTTCACTGCCATCGTGCAGTTTCCGTTACATCCTGCGTTTTCAGTGCGATCAATTTGCCTTGTGATTTTCCTCATGACGTTGTGCTTGTGATATTTCTCTAGCATTGTGCCATGGAAACCGTATCTCATCTTCTTCTTTTTTAAATTCAATTTTCATAAATTCAATAATCCATATTTTTTGTGTTCTGTGTATTCTTTACTCATACTATATGCCACACCATGACCTTCCATTTCCCCTCCGACAAAGCGGTATTGCAGGGATATTAATCACTATCACTGTCAGTGATAGTTGAATCTTTCGTGGTGGCGTGAATGCGGTGACACGGTACTGTCGCGCCGAAAACATTTTTCCTCCATCGCAGACGCTGCAGCTGCAGAGTGACCTAAATGACATTCACGCTCAGCTGAAGGATGTCGCCAGCCAGCAGGTGGCAGCACAGAAGCCATGCATCGTGTTCGAGTATGTTCACTTGTCGCCGCTCAAGTTCGAAGTGAGTCTGTCGCTGCGCGGCATCGTGCACCAGGAGCAGGGTGAGTCGGACGGACTCGTGTCGTCTCACGTCGACTTCTTCCTCGGGTCTGTCGGCGCCACCATCCTCGACATCAAAGACGTAGAGATGAAGTAAGTGCGCTGTGTGTGTGTGTGTGTGTGTTAAGCTGGGTTTACACTGACGATTTTAGGCCGATTTTATGCAGGCGACTTGGCGTTTTTCTTCTTTCTACCAACTGCTCTATAAAAATTCAAAGCTCTTACGTTATCGACCCGCGAGGCGGCAAACGTTTCAACATTTGACTCGTAGTACGCGCGCGGGGCAACGCCGATACGAATTTTTAGCTCAGCTGACGGAGTCAGATGCAGCTTGTAGAATCGCATGAATGTCCGTCCGTGCGTCCGTCCGTCCATGTGTCAACAGTTACGGCACAAATCTTAACCGCTCGACGTACGGTCTTGATATTCGGGACGTCGGGGGGGGATTGCGAAAAGGACTCGGGATGTCGAATTTGGGGGGTCAAAGGTCAAGATGTGTCAATGGCGGGGGAATATTGCCCTTTTAACTTTATGTATAGGAGGAAATACGGAATTGCGGCACAAATCTCAACGGCTCGACCTACGCTCTTAATATTCGATTGTGTGATGGGGAGGAAACCCATCACCAGCGCAAAATTGGAGGTAACAGGTCAAAGGGCAGTGGGGGAAAGGTCAGATATCAGACATTTTCTGAGGACATGGTCTAACGGACCGAGTGCAAAACTTTTTTGTTTTAGCGCTGACCTACCATTTTTATCACTTTATTGAAAGGACCATGAAATGTACGTACTTTCTGCTGACGTGCGAAGAGTAAGTGTCTGATAACCTTTTGACCCTCAAGAGGAGGGTTAGACATGGATTTGTTGACTATTAACAAAGGACTGAACTGCTTTTGCTATCAGAGCCCCCTCCACCTGCCCCCTGTTCAGACGACAGTGCAAGCATTTTGCTGCGAGACGTTGTCCATTACGTTCGCTTTAGCAGAACTGTGTTCGATTTGTTCAAGTTGTTTAGTCGTGCAGTTTGTTCATGTTGTTTAAGCGTTTTAGATTTGCATTACAGGTGGTTGCCCATCACGTTCGCTTTAGCAGAACGACGTTAGCTTTATTCTAAGCTATTTATACCAGGTTTGGCTTCTTGATTCCGAATGCAATAGCAGCAGAGAGGAAACAGCCCATCATAGTTAAGCTTGTAACTCGATGGCATCGAGCATTAAGCTAGTTAACTCTACCGTAGGTATGCTGTAGACACGCGCTCCAAGAGAACGGCTTGGGTCTCGATTCCACAGCTCTTTGAGAAACGCCACAGGGTTTATGTATCTTGCGAGTGGCGCGTGTACGCGTGCACATATACATGCGTGTATACACGCGCACATGTACACGGCTCGTGTACGCGTGCATCCATTGCCACTAGCTGCTCGGCGTCACGAGTGTACGTCTTTCGGGCTGGCATTCGACGAGCAGTGAGGCGTTATCGGCGGC